TAGGTCCCAAACTCGGACGACTCGCATTGGTGGCTGTTTTTGAGGCTCGCTTTTGGGAGTTTGTGGAGAATGAGCTGAATGACATGCATATGATGGTTGCCTCTTGGGAGAATTTCATGACACACTCCCGGAAAACCCATTCATCCTATGTGTGGAAGAATGGGTTCGAACAGTACCAGCACCGGACTTGGGTCAGTGCTTTCGGACTTCATGGCCATCCACTTCCATCATGATTTCAAGGCCAATGGGAGTGCACATGAGGCCACAAGGATCACCTAGGCATGGAGGTACACGCCCGTTTGGCCTCCATCGTACGTACGCTTCGGTTCGTTGGGACTGGGCTGGGTGGGTGCCATTTTCGGGTCGAAGACCACCGAAGCTGAGGAGGCACGACTGGAGGTGTAGGGATGTAGATTTGGGTGCTTTTTTTTTGGACACCTGGTTGAGCCTGGTTGTGGCTTCAAAGCACTGGCAGACATACTCAGAGAGACTTCCAATCTTCTGTACCTGGATGCACGCAGATTGCTGTGATGCGCCGTGTTTTCCTGTTGGATTGTTGAAATCCAACAGTTCATGGCAGAGAGATGTATGTGGAAAAAAAGGGTCAATCACACATGCACATGATTGGAGGCTTGGCATGGGGCGAATCGAAGTGTCGGAGAACAGGGGAATGGCATAGTGCTTGGCACGCCCTACCTGTCCGTATTGCCCGCCAACGTGTTGGCGATTCTTAGATGTTCCTGCATCTGGGGGTTTCAGATGCACAGAGCCGCCATGAAACTCAGGTATTTTACCAGTGGATTGAGAGGACCAATGGCACAATCACCAAGTTAGGTGGTTTATATGGATCTCCATTTGTCCAAGACATCTTGGGATATCTTGGGCTTTGTGCCATCTACTCTGAAACCACCGTATCCCAGCATCTTCCGAAACCTTAAGATACTTTGATGGTACTCAGATCTCACTGTGAACATCAGCACTGTCGACAGAACAACATCAGCATCTTCCGTACCTGGTCCGTGATCCAACGGGCCGCGGGTGTGGAAAAAGGCAGCTGAATGAGCTCAGCGCTCCGAGGCCCGGAGATTGCCCTGAGCAGCGCGGTCGGCGTAGCCAGCGAACCCCGTGGGCCCGGAGGTGGCATGAGAACCAAAGAGAGAGAGAGAGAGAGAGAGTGGTTACACTAAGGACCAGCTGAAGGATGTGTTTTTTTTATTACGGATTTCAATGTTCACATGTTACAGCTATTGCTTCAGTACGTTCCTCAATAGCAGCAGCTGCATAACAAACTGGAAACAACAAATCAAAACAACAGGCAAAAAGACAAACAAACAAACCAAGCAGTCAACAAGAAACAACAACAGACACAACAATGTTTGCCAAACAAGACTAGCTTTGACCCTGGCACCCAAAACAAAACGCAGGCAACAAATGCTTCTTGGGAACATGTCATGAGTAGGAAATGTAGGGAAATGTGAGAATGGCGAGCCAGAAACCATCAGATTGCGGAATCCAAACAGTGTAGCTTGCACATTCGAGATAGAACTGTCCCATACTTTCCCCGTATGGATCCACATACCTGCCAAGAAGGTGATGTGTTCGACACTTCTATGCAGGTGCCAGGAGGGTCCAAAACCCTCTAAGGAGGTAATTACTTGGATCCCTCGGATTTTACCAGCTGCCTATCTCGACTCGGGCGAACGGGACCGCTGTTAGCCGCGAAGACACTGCCGGTGGGGCAGAGGTTTCTGGCGGCATAGGACAGGGCGAGGTTTGAAAGCTGTTGGCGCTAAATGTGATGCTATGCAATGGTTTGGCTGAACACGTCCAGTCCGACCCAGTCTCCTGGTCCTGAGTTTACCATTGAGTGGTGTTAGAATACTTTTTTTTATATGACCAACTCCAGTATTTTTAATGTGGTCAAACGGTCAAACGAAAACGGTCAAACGACTTGTCGGGTTTATATAGACGTGTTGGGGTCAGGGCGAGAGATAACAGAGCATACAGTATAACGGTATATCCTGGATTCAGCACTCGTTACAAGCCAAATCTTGGTTTGTAAGTATACACATGTAAAGCTGGTGGTCAACATTGAATTGATCATGGTGTTTCTCGTGATCAATTCAGCATGACAGACAGACATAGGCTAACATAGGCCCTTTACAGACACTTGCGCTCTGCAGCTCTTCATTTGTGATCTTTTGGGCGAATCAAGCCGCAGAAAGGGACCCGCTCGGCAGATGAACCCGGGACGCCGTTTCACCGGTCGTTCTTTTTTTTTCAGTCCTGACGGAGGATTTGGGACTTGACTTCACCATTATTCCGAAGCGCTTCGCCGCTGCCGGGCTAAAGTGCTCGAAATTCGGGGACCGAATTTCGGTATCTCAGGAGAGCGGATATGTCCTCGTCGGCCCCGAAGTAGGATCATCCCACGTTTGAACAAAGACCCCCTACTAGGGATCCACACACTTTCTCAGATTCTCAGAAGGTACTTGGACCCTCCAAGGCTACATAGATATAATATAGCGACGGCCCGAAACTAAGAATGACTTTTGTGCCATTCCATTTGGAAAAACAACCATCCTCAGAATCATTGTTGGTACATGTTGGCTATAAAACACCGCTCCTGTGCAGGAAAACAGGCATAGGATGCCCCAAAAGTGGCGCATTCTAAGTTCTAGGGGTACTTTGAGAAAAGTGAACAACACAACCCCAAACAACTTACTGTAGAAGCGGTGCAAATTTTACAAAATTTTGGCATGCAACATGTTTCTAACAACGAATCATATGCAAAAAAAGTGCAACGGTGGCTTTTGATTTTGGAATGTCTCTGGGCAAATTTGCATTTTTTGCAACAACAGTGGGCAAACTTAGAATCACCGATCAGTGGCTACAATTGAGAGTTGTTGCTTAGCCACAGCCTGTGTGGAAGAAAAGCCATATTTTCTGATTTTGGAATGAAAAAAGTTTGACTTGAAATAGTAGTGTTTTGAGCTGGTTCCTTTTATTTCCCTTAGTATTGGTCGATGTTTGAAGGGCAAAGAAAGGAACCCGAAAGGAACATGAAGACAACATGGAGGAAAATCAAAGGAAATTAATCCAACTCTTTGTTTATCTAAAATCACACTTTTTCATGTTTTTTCTCTCTTACATCATTGTTTTTGACAATGTTTGAAAGACAATTGATGAAATGAAAAGAACAATAAAGCAAATGAAATGCACATGAAAGGAACATGAACAGAATAGAGGCACATGGACAGACAATGCAGGAAATTCAAGTAAATCATGTGTTTTGCACTCTTAATCTTTTTAGCGTTTATAGAACACGTTTTGTTGTTCATTCCTAAATAACTCGTTTGTCATCCTTTTTGGAAAAAACATAAATGAACAGACCATGAAGGAAAACTAAATTGAAGTGACAAGGATAATGAAGGAAAACTAAAATTCAAGGACATCGCTCTATTTGCCAGCATGGAGACAGTGTGATACTGCATGGCCTCGGCCTTCCTTTGGCGAGCCTTTTCAGATGCAGGGTTTTTGTATATACATATAGCGATGGCGCCATATAGCGATATACGCATGGGAATTCAAAACAGCCTGTAAACTTAGAAGGTGCATTGCAAGACTCCCCATTCTAAATTTATTTGTTGTTTTGAAGTGCCGATTTTCATACCTTCTAAGTTTCAGGCCGTCGCTATAAATAGTCAATATAATTAGTCTCCAATGACTAATCACCTTCTCAGAAGGTATGTGGATCCATAGGGGCCGAACACTACAGACTCGGGTTCTGGCATTTGACTCTGAACTAATGTGATGAACGGAGGAATCATGTTTGAGACCACCGGGGCACATGGAAAGGCACCTTCAACTTCATCGGCTCAGTCGGCTGGGCAGGTTCCGCTCAGTAACGCCTCGCGAAGTGTGCGGCGGTTTGCATCCGCCGAACGCAGAAGCGACGAGCAACCGAACGGGTGGCCACTTGTTGCCCAGTCGGCTGGTGCACCGTGTTGGCTCCATCGCTGGCACTTCGAAAGGCCCCAGACATGGCCGCTGCTGCGCAGTTGGTTGGAGCTAAAATTGGATCGGCTTCAAATTCTGCGATGCCGGTGGAGATGAAGACTCTGAGGGTGTAAACTGTGAAGCAGAACTCAAACATTTTTCCACATTGACAAGGTGGACTGGAAGGTTTTTGGAATAATATGATGGATTTGGCACCATTTGAGATATACCAATTGGTTCTTGACTTGTTGGTTGTCCCCTTTTAGGCAACCAATGATACAAGATCTATAGCATTCTAAAGAACCCAGGATTCATGGGCCAACCCATGGGTTCATGTTTGCAAGTGCCAGGTTTTGCCCACACGTCCCAGACCGAGTCTGCGGGATTCACTTAATGATGTTGAATCACGCCGAGGTGTTCGGATTGTTTCAGAGAACACCTGAGGAAAAAGACGCGCAGTCTGGTGGGCCAGGTGGTGGAGGGCCACATCGATGCCATGAAGTCCAGTGTTGACAGTCCATCCTTCTCACCCGGAGTCGGCCGAGTGCACCCGAGCAGTCAGAGCAGATCGGCCTCACTTCCAAGCTATCTCAAGGGGCAACTCGATCACCCGACCAGATCCGACCGGCGGGCCCGCGCCCTTTGGGGCGCGCCAAATGGGCACTTAGAGACTCATGTTGCTACTAGCGATGAGGCTAGTAGCTTCTTGTTACTACTAGTAAGGCACTTGTTACTAGAAGCGATGCACTTGTTCCTAGTAGCTTCTTGTTGCTAGTAGCTTACTTCTCCCAGTAGTATGGCCAGCCCCTAGTAGCTGTCTTGTTACTAGAGAAGTCGAAGTCCCAGACGCTCCATCACGCCATGTTTGCCAATCAGGGGTGGTCGCATCTATGGCAGTCCCGGTTGAGTCGTGTTTGGGGCTGGAAGACTTCGGACCATTTTGGAGGGAATCCACCACCCCATTCACCCACCCTCAGCTATCAGGGCCCCCCCTGCTCCAGGCAGGCACGAGCTTGAGCTCCACCGGCGTGGTGGGCTCGGGGGGCGCTGGAGGGCTGCAGAACCTGATCCGAGCCTATCAGGCCAGGTCCCTGTGAGCGCTTGTGGGGGAGGGCGGAAGAATGGTGGTTGAGTGTTCTATAGTTGATTAATGATATATATATATATATATATGAAATCGTAAAAAATCATTGTTGGTCAGCGGAGGAAAGACAATGACATATTGCTCGATCTTCCTTTTTATTTGCAAATTGTATGTTTGGTTTCATGCCTATACATTGAGTCCGGCCACCCCCCCTGTAACTCTGCAAAAAGGTTTCTTTATTAAGACAACCAGCGAAAATTAGCACCAGGAAATCCTAGATAATTCATCGTTACCTGGGGCCTCTCCAAATGGATTTTGAATATGCTAACCCCTCCACTCCTCTCCTGCCCCTCCTGCCCTTTCTTCCCCTTCTTCCCCTCCACTCTCTTCTCCTTTCCTCTCCTCTCCTCTCCTCCTCTCCTCTCCTCTGTTCTCCTTCCCTCCTCTGCCCTCTCCACCACCACCAGCACCAGCACCACACCAGCACCAGCACCACAGCAGCCATCACCACCACCACCACCACCAGCACCCCCAGCACCAAACAGCAGCCCCAGCAGCGGCCACCACCACCAGCCCCAGCAGCCGCCACCAGCAGCAGCAGCAGCAGCAGCAGCGCCACCAGCACCACCACCAGCACCACCAGCACCAGCGCCAACAACCCAGCACCCAGCCCCAGCCCCAGCCAGCCCCAGCCAGCCGCAGCACCAGACCAACACCAGCCCCAGCCGCCACAGTCTACATGTTCATTGCTGGATTTGACATATCTATATAATATTTTCATGTGACAATCTAGCACACCAATCACTAGAAGCAACGGTTCGAAAAGACCGGCCGCGGAACAGAAGTGGAGGTCACGATTCCAACCTCCTGTTGCTTGCAGGTTAGACAGAGGCCAAGACGAAACCAAATCTTCACAAAACCCTATAAACCCTAAGCCCTAAACCCTAACAGCTGCTTGGCCGACGAAATGGGCCACCAGATTTGACGACATTTAGCACCAGAAAAAGCACAATTGGAAGCACAAAAACAGGCACCAGATTTGACGAAATTTAGTACCAGAAAAAGCACAATTGGAAACACAAAAAAGAGCACCAGATTTGACGAAATTTAGCACCGGAAAAAGCACCAGGAAAGCGCCAGAAACTGCACAGGCGGCCACGACAAAGTCAAACGCTGCTGAGGCCAAGTGCTCCGAGCGATCTGCTTTTGGCTCGCAGGTTCATTCTGGACGCGCGAAATTTAGCACCAGATTTGACGAAATTTAGCACCAGAAAAAGCACAACTGGAAGC